TTTCACGAGCCGTTAGGCGAGTGAAATTTGAGACAATTTTGAAATATCACGAGTGGTATTTATGCCAAATATCACGTACAAATCATGCTATTTTTTGTTTATACTACTACCCGCCATAGTTTTGTAATTTTTACATGTAGGTAATTCAAATTAAGCTGAAATACCACTGCTGTAAGTCAATCAAATTGCAGAAATTTCTCATGTAGTAGTATAAAAAGATTTACCCTACCTCTTATACAAAGTGCACCAACCACAGAATGGATCACCAGGTCTGACACAGTCGACACAAGATGGAAAGGAACTGCATTCTTCAGTTGATACCTTTGTCACCTTACAGGGTGCAAAGAAAGTCAGTTTTAAAGCCTGTCATCCGGGCAAGCTGTAGCTAGCATGTACTAGCCCACAAGTCATTTCGACTAGCCCCAAAACCCTTTTTGATTACCAGGACTGATTACAATCCTCCTTCCTCAAAAAACAACACTTGCCCATCGGGCAAGTTAAGAACAAAAATCACTAGCCCGGTAGGAAAATTCACAAGCCCCGGGCTATCCGACACAACTTTCTTTGAAGGCTGCCTTATATGGCACAAAATAAGTGACATTACATATAACCACCTGATAAATTATAATCAGCAGTATTAGCAGCCCTTTACAAAGGGAAGTATTTTGAACTTGAATTGTGTTTGCTTTTAATAAGTGGCATTCAAAACCAGCCATTATAAATTAGCAATGGGTTACGGATCAGTCTAAATGGTCTATGAGGGCAGGCTCCGCATTAAAGGGGTACATTTTTCAGGTTTCTGGTACATGAAAGGTCATGAAAGGATAAGGATTTCACTAGTTGAAGTATATGAAAGGGTAGGGAAATCTGTCCTCTTGGTCTGTAAAAAGGCCCAAAAGAGCTAATTGACAGATGCATTTTATGTCTGGTTGTAAAAAAGTTGAAAAACTGTAATTTATTCACATTTCAAAGAAGTTAAAAGGAAAGCAAAGTTCAAAGCCAGGTATGTGAAAGGGGTCTATTTTTTAATAGAGTATACGAAAGGGGTACCTTTTCTGTCAGAAATACACGTAGCATATAAAAGTGAAAGGGGTTCAGCCTCTCTGTGGAGCCTCCCTGTATAACACTTTGTTGAGTATACCCCTCAGGGGTGGTCATCAGCAGTATATAACTACAAAAGAAATTATTTTGAACTTACTTTGTGTGTGCTCAGAACAACCAAGTACTTTTTATCACTTGTGAGCTTTAACTGCCGAACTTCGTAAGAGCTAATGTTAAACACAGCATATGGTTTCACCTTACTCTTGCCGTCTCCCACTGATACCTATAACACACAGTGCTGTGTAAAAAATTATTGATTTAAAATATTGAGGGTATTTTCCAAGAAATTCAGATTTTTCCTCCTTGGCTGAGTTATTCAAGGCTTCCAATTATTGCAGTCAACGATAATACCAGGTTGACTACAAAAAGAGCATCTGTACACAATGTAAATATCCTTGGATTTGCACTAATAGTCTCTCACACAAATGAGCCCTGGAGTCAAAAATGGAGAAATGGAGACATTTATTTATATTTAGGTATTAGTAGCAGTCACACCAGGTCAAGCATACCCCCAGATCGATAGATTGCAGCATTGATGAATCGGTTATTAGAAAAATGAACCCCTTAATCTTTGCCGTAACCAGTAGCAAATTCAAATCTGTATTCCTGCATGTGTAATGAGTAATGAAATTATCAACATAACTTCTCTGTGATTGGACAGAAGGGGGTATCTTGCATGCTTGTATTTTGCAAGAAAAAGAAGATTCAAATACAGATTAATATGGATCACAAAACAGGTCTTCTGTTGCACGTTCAAGTAGAGAGAAACTAGATTTGATCAAAGCATACAGAGCAACATACTTTGTCTCAGCAAACAAACAGTAGCTGCAAAAAATGACAGAAACCTACTTGACTTAGGACTTATAATCAGCGAACTAAATTAATATACATGTACCTTGAGCAGCTTGCCTTGACTTGTACCAATAAACAACACTGTGTGATTGAAGTAAGGCATAGCAGCTACAGCAGCAGTAGATAGTATTCCCTGATCATATTCTACAATGGCATTTTTTGCTGCAGATAGTTTAATTGAACGATATTTAACATATTTTAGTGCAAAAATTGAAACAGGACAGAAGTTAGGAAGGATTGTTGGAGAACTTGAACCCTGTGAACAATAAAAGACAAAATGATTACTCATGATTGTGCTACATGATTGAGCTTAACATGCACTGAGTTGCAAGTAAATTACTCAAGTTAAACCAGACTTTAATTTCCCTGTCTCAGAAGAAACAAACTCATGGTTAATGGGTGTATTAAATATTACCGTCCTAGCACAGTTCTTAACATCACCAAGCCAGGGTAATCCATATTCCTCTGTTGAATATGAGCCATCTGCACATTTCTTCTGGTCAGCAGCCAGCTTTTCATTGATCTCTTTGACTGGATAAAAACAAACACCAGACTTTGAAGCACGATCATTCCAGCCTCCATTAGTCTGGACAAATGTTACGACTAACACTTCATCTGAAGATTGAATTCCAGAAGACTTAGCAAAAAGGTTTCCAGGTTTTGTTAGGTAGGCCGATGTTCCTATATTAAAATTTGTTCCATTAGTTCCTTTGGACTCCAGTGGTAACTCTAAATATGAAAAGTAACTCCTGTCTCGCTGGCATATACGAATTATGAAAGTACTGAAAACTTTTGCGTCCTTGTTTTGGTAGTAAGACTCAGTTGTCTCTTGTACAGAAACAAAGTAAGTAAAGCCATCCAATGAAAATCCATAAATATATTTCACTAAATAATTTAAGTCGTCAAATTGTAAACACGAACATCCATCAAGTAGTGATTTTGCAGAAACGGCAAAAACATTGGACCCGTCAATGTTCCGAGTAGATACAGCAGGCTTCGGATTAATCTGAAAATTCAAAATTCCTGATAGGCCATAAGTTTTTCCATCCCATGAAGTTGCAATATACAAAGCAAGTTTCCCATCCCAGCGTGGACCAATTATAGCAACTGAGGGTAAATCAGAATTTGACACAACATATTCATTATTATTTGAAATTTCCACTGACAGCGTTTCAAGACTTCTTCCTTGACACACTCCATGCTTAAAAGATCCACAAGTGATGAGCTTTTTATTTGCACTGTCTATCAGTAGAATCTTATTCCTATTGTCGGTCCTTTCCTGAGGACAAACTGGCCGTGATTCAAGACATTCAATGTAATCTTCCAAAGGACCAGATGTGATTCTCTTTAGTTCTTTCATGGTCGGTGAAACTTTCAATATTACATTTTTGCCTCCGATGAAAATGATGTTTGTTTCATTGTCAATGTCAATGTTATAGAGTTCTTCACTTAGTTGTAACTCTGGAAAACTGCCAAAACTTGTACTGGACAAGGACAAAAGAATAAGAAAGACAACTTTTTGTATATGCATGATCATTCCATCAGCCTTGAGATACACGGAAGGACTTTTGTTGTGAGGACAACCTAATGGAAAACATCATAAAAATTATTAGTTTTTGATTCACCCCATTAACATCCTCAAATATACTGAAGAGTAATAATTATCTTTAATAGCAATTACATGAAAACACAAAGGAACAGTCACCAATCAGAAAAATGTAGTCTTCAGTGTAAGCCGTCTATTCGTCCCACCTCCAATGGGCAATTCTCTCGCCTGGCCGCCCATTAGAGGGTGGGGCGAAGAGATGGCTGCACTTCCAATTCCAAACTGTTGGCTGCTGGAAAAACAGAACGGATAATTTTTTCCAACCGCGGCTGATAATGATGCAAGGAGCTTCTGTGAATTTTCAAATTTTCATAGGCGACATGGTCTGATTAATAAATTGTGCACAAAAGTTTCTCTAGCCATTTCAGAGGAAATTCTGGTGGAGCATTTCCCCCAATGATCATTCTCTTATTCAATGACCTGTGTGATTTTTTCTCCTACAATCATCCCAGAGCAACATGTCCTCAGATCATAATCAAATGTTGCATGAGCTAAGTCAATGTCAACTGGACTTGCCGAAAGGCGACTGTTATAGGCTGTCATAAAACCTAGACTATACAGAAATATTGTACTGCGTCAGAACAATAAGACAACCGGAACAGACAGCAAACAGCTTATAAAAGAAAACAACCCACTAAACCCATCACATTACACACCCGATCAATAGACGATAATCTATAATTTATGGCTGACACATTTGACCTGATTGTCCAGCCACAGCTTTAATCTCTCGAGCAAAATAACTTGAGTCACTGTTGAATCACTAGGAAAGCTAGTTTTACCACAAAATAAAAGAAAAGAGTCAGATTTGACCTACGCGGATGGTCCATTGAGGGATTTACAATATTTTCACTAAATACATTGTATCTTCTACCCAATTTGACCCCAGGATGTCTATACCGTGTTCGAGGAGTATCACTTATATCCCTTTTTTTGATTCTTGTGTTGTTTTCTTTGATTTTCATATTTCGTCTTCGATTAAAAAGAAAAATACTTTTTGTTTTAGTGTTTCATTTTGATTTTTCAGCTAATCTTTGATTTTCAAAATTTATCGTACTTGACTTGATTTCTTAAATGGAGTTTTTGATTTTCAAAATGACATAGATATGGATCTTACCTACGTGAAAGCTTCAGTAAGGAGTGGTCAGCAATACTCAAGGCCAGGACACTCACACAGACATATATCATAGCCAAGAGAGACGGAGGGGGTCAGAGCAAGTGGTATAGACTGTTAAGCTAATAGAAAAGTATTTATTCTAACAGAGGAACTACAGGACATATCGTATTTCAGTCCAAAAGGCTCACTAATCTAAAAAAAAACAACACACCTGAGGGGTGTACTCAAGGAGCAGGGTTTGGGTAAAGTTTTGCTGCCAAGGCCTTCAAACCCTTTTTAGGACCCTGACTCGTTTCGTTTTGCATACAGAACTAAGTAATTTTCAAACCAACATTGTGGAATTGAGTTTTTTGGTAAAAAATCGTTAGTACCACAAATATAGACTGCTTATTTCGTTTCAAGGAACTTCCGGATCCTTCGCAACAACAGCACAACCAGCAAAATTTTCAAAAAACGCCCTCCTCCCTGAAGGCTTTCAGGCATGCCAGGAATCTGAAAGATCTGTTAGTCAGAAGCAGCCTATATAGCTGTACCTCGAAGCCTTCCGAACCAACTAACAGCAACTTTCCCATTTAACTGGACCATTTGCCGCACATGTCCCCATGTCAATTCATCTACCACAATAATACAACACCTAAAGGGCATGTTAACATCAGGGGACATTTTTCCTGCATCACGGACAACGTAATTTATTGTTTGACGTNAAGAAAACAACCCACTAAACCCATCACATTACACACCCGATCAATAGACGATAATCTATAATTTATGGCTGACACATTTGACCTGATTGTCCAGCCACAGCTTTAATCTCTCGAGCAAAATAACTTGAGTCACTGTTGAATCACTAGGAAAGCTAGTTTTACCACAAAATAAAAGAAAAGAGTCAGATTTGACCTACGCGGATGGTCCATTGAGGGATTTACAATATTTTCACTAAATACATTGTATCTTCTACCCAATTTGACCCCAGGATGTCTATACCGTGTTCGAGGAGTATCACTTATATCCCTTTTTTTGATTCTTGTGTTGTTTTCTTTGATTTTCATATTTCGTCTTCGATTAAAAAGAAAAATACTTTTTGTTTTAGTGTTTCATTTTGATTTTTCAGCTAATCTTTGATTTTCAAAATTTATCGTACTTGACTTGATTTCTTAAATGGAGTTTTTGATTTTCAAAATGACATAGATATGGATCTTACCTACGTGAAAGCTTCAGTAAGGAGTGGTCAGCAATACTCAAGGCCAGGACACTCACACAGACATATATCATAGCCAAGAGAGACGGAGGGGGTCAGAGCAAGTGGTATAGACTGTTAAGCTAATAGAAAAGTATTTATTCTAACAGAGGAACTACAGGACATATCGTATTTCAGTCCAAAAGGCTCACTAATCTAAAAAAAAACAACACACCTGAGGGGTGTACTCAAGGAGCAGGGTTTGGGTAAAGTTTTGCTGCCAAGGCCTTCAAACCCTTTTTAGGACCCTGACTCGTTTCGTTTTGCATACAGAACTAAGTAATTTTCAAACCAACATTGTGGAATTGAGTTTTTTGGTAAAAAATCGTTAGTACCACAAATATAGACTGCTTATTTCGTTTCAAGGAACTTCCGGATCCTTCGCAACAACAGCACAACCAGCAAAATTTTCAAAAAACGCCCTCCTCCCTGAAGGCTTTCAGGCATGCCAGGAATCTGAAAGATCTGTTAGTCAGAAGCAGCCTATATAGCTGTACCTCGAAGCCTTCCGAACCAACTAACAGCAACTTTCCCATTTAACTGGACCATTTGCCGCACATGTCCCCATGTCAATTCATCTACCACAATAATACAACACCTAAAGGGCATGTTAACATCAGGGGACATTTTTCCTGCATCACGGACAACGTAATTTATTGTTTGACGTGCATCAAATGTTCATCGACAGTCTACATTGGAGAGACTGGACGCAAGTTGGCTGACCGTTTCAGAGAACACCGCAGACATGTCATCAACGGGAGAAATGACCTGTACCTGCTCACTTCAACCAGGCCAATCACACACTGGAGGGCATCAAAGTTGCAGTATTGAAGACAGGCCTGGCCAACCATGAATACCATAAGAAGCAGTAGATGCGTTTGATTTTCAGACATGTCAGACATGGAACTGTGACTCCGAGTGGCCTTAACCACGACTTTAGTTTCACCTGAATTACTCACTTTTTTTCCTATTCGCGTGCCGGTGTGCGTTGCTATCTCAAGCACGCGCGCTAGTACGTAATCGGGCACGTAAGCTAATTTAACATAACGGTCTATAGTTTTATACCCTGAAGAAGGCAGCATTGCCGAGATGTCAGTTTAAGATCTTATAACAGCGTTGATTTTAAAATTTTCAAATGGATGTTTCAAATTCAGCCGAGTGGCTCTGGGGATGAGAGTGCAAAGTGTACAGAACATTCTCGTCCCCAGACTCGCCACTCAGCTTAATTTATAATGGACGAGAAAAAATTCAGGCTTGTCACAGAGGTCATGGTACCTGAATTTTTCAGGCTTTCTATTACACAACTGTATAAGTTGCAAATTTAACTGCGATGATCTTTTCTTCACTTATTCTTCATCCCGCGTTTTCATATATTCATCTTGTAAAATTAATATACCTTAAAATTGTAAAATTTTTGATACCGCTTACCCCGGTACCAGTGGTTTTTTCTCGTGTGCGGCGAGTGAGTGCAGATGAGATGCTTCCGGGTCGGCCGGTTAAGCCGCGCCCAGGGTATGCTATCGCCAAATACCTAAAATGGCCCTGAAACAAAATACAACGTACAGTCGACTTCCGATAACTCGAACCAAAAGCGATTAGACATTTTCTCTTCCCTGCTAGCAGAGGTCTCTCACGGCGACAGAAAAATGATTTTTGCTCGCAGGGAACTTTTCCCTTGGATTTCCTTCATAGTTTTTGTAATGATTACAAATTCATTTTATTGACCGAATATTTTATGCCACTGAAAATTCATTTCCCATTAACGAAAGGCAAAGGTGTATTATGAAATTACAATAATAGTGAGAATAAGAACTAACATTCTCTCTTGGAATTAACAATGACAGAACTCTCCTTGATCACCTATATACATACTTACCAGACAGTAAAAACCCATTGATTTCCCTACACATTAATGAGTCCATCCCGTCCGAGTTCCCAAGATTTTAAAACGTTCAGTGAAGCTTAAGCTTATTTACATGTACGCCAAAATATCATCGACATGTTATAAAAGCTCTCACCAGTCCACTTCTTAACGCAGACGAACGGAATAGTTTTTTACAGTCACTCCTAGCGGGATGTTACAAATCAATATTTTCGATACTCGATTATAAGTTATCGATTAATATCGAAAATCGATGGAAATCGATCGGTCGAGTTTTTATCGAAAACATAAAAAACATAAAGCTACAAGTCAACAGAAGTACCGCTCGCTAGTTCAGCAGAGAATGGAAAAAAATGAGTGACTCTAGCCAAATTTGTGATTATCGGTTTTTGTTGATTATTATAACTATTCAATCGACAAATATCGAGTATTATCGAGTACTATCCATTAATCGATTACGTTTTCGATGATCGATTTTGATCGATTTGTAACGTCCTGCTCCTAGGAAATACGAGACAGACATTGAAGCTCTTTTCGAAAGCCACACACGGTATAGTTAGTTCATAATACCATAAAATCTTAAATTCAACAATCATAAACAAACCTGTATTCTTAGGGGCACCCAACGGCAATTTTCGGGAAAATATCTGTTCGGAAGACGATTTGAGATCTAGAATTTTCGGAGCATT